AAGAAGGATTTATTAATAACTGTAATAATTACTTATTATATTACTGATGATTTAGGATTCAGTTCTTGACAATTACATTCTAAATTAGAATTTTAAGGATATAATGAAAATACGCTACGCACAAAAATACATTTTAGGATAAAAAAATTAGTTGATTTTTTATGTTTTAAAACTTCTTAAATTCATTTAATAAACATCGTATTCTCGTTGTTAATTGAATCCAGAATGTTGGTGTCGTTTATATAATTATTCTTACTTGTCTACAGAATCTGCTGACTTATCCAGCGATTAAGTAGCTGCAGATTATTTCTACATAACCATGGAACTTCCATTAATTCAGTCTCTAGAGGGTTGTATGTTTATATCATAATTTGACTTTTATAAAAATGATTATTCTAAATCTTATGTTTCTATAAAAATATACTATGCTTTAAAAATATGGATGATAGCATCAGCTGCTCTTTCAGCCACTTCAAAAGCAACAGTTTGTTTAGAAATAAATTATGCAGTTAATGTCATAAAATTCAAATAAACATCAAACGAAAATTCTCAGTTTTAGACAATTCGATTTTAAACGTAAAAGTAAAGTAGCAGACGATTAAAACGCCGAAGGTAAAAATTTACTCTTTCAAAAATTTGTGCTTTTATTTATTTATTTATTTATTTTTTTTAAGATAGAGAGAAATTGAAAAAAAAAATAGTTAAAAATTTGAATATCATCATCTATAATTTAAAAAAATAGCTTTTCATATAGTATTAATAAATATTTATTACACATCATTGAGGGAAAAAATGTCATATAATTATTTCTTTCTATAATTTTACTTGAAATTTAAGGTTAAAAATAGCTGTGGCAATTCAGTGTAACAAAAATCCATAGATTTCATAGATCACATTTGGCGTTATTATCGCTCAAAAAAAAGATGCCAAATTTCAAAACGCGAAAATATGTAAATTCGTGTATATCTTAAAAAAATTTTGAATAAAAAATCGAATTTTTTGCAGATATGCTTAAAAATACACCTACTTTAAGATGATGGTAAAAATTTATAGGTCATAATTCAAAATTTTTTTCGAAAAATTTATAAAAATTATTTTAAAATTAGAAATTTAAAAAAAAGGAAAAACACAAAACAAAAAATGGGTAAATTTTATTTGGAATGAACCTAAATTTTGAAAATGTGAGAGGAAAAAAAAAAAAATCAAAAAAGTTTAATAAAAAAAGAGATATTAATAAATATTTGCCAAATTCAATTAACATTGAGGAGCTAAAAATTTTGAGAGCTAATATTTTAAAAACTACTCGTACGATTTTTACAAAACTTGGTATTATGGCATAATTTGAGTCGTAGAATCGAAATATGTAAAAAAATTGGTATGTTATTTCACAAAAAGTCCGATTTTGTGTCAAAATACCTATGTTAGAATAGTGCTATATATAAATCTAATATATATCCTAAGTCGCGCTTTCGAGACATGAAAAACGCAGTTTGAATTTTGTCAATCGGCCCAGTAGATCGGAAGATATAGCACTGTCCCATTTTTTTTTTTTTTTTTTTGAGCAGTGTACATCTAAGGAGTAAAGCAAACATCTGTGTTTTTTGGTGGAAAACATAGCAAGCAAAACTTCTTTTTTTTCCTTGGATTTACTGAAATTGTAAACAACTGATGAAAATGATGAACACTGAGGAACTGGATAACCCTAGCTTTGAAATATCACATTTCCAAGTGAGAATAGTTTTAATCCAGTCAGAACTTCGGGAAGTTATGAGTGGGCAGTTAGTCAAGACAGAAACTTCTGAAACTAATCAAGCTGAACTTAACAAATGGGTCTAAAAGATCAGAAAAACATTAGCAATTATTGCTCTGAGTCTGAAATCATCTGAGGAAGTGTGCATTAAAAAACGCCAAATTTCATATGAAGTGTAGATGAAAGTACAAGAAATTCATCAGCTGAAAGGCCATCTAATTAAAGTAAAGTGTGAATTAAAAAAAAAAAAAAAAAAAAAAAAAAATGCAGGATTACTTAACTTTAGTACTTTCCTTGAAATTATAAATAAACTTAATTAATACTAATTAAACTTAATTAATACTAATTAAACTAAATAAAATTATAAATAAACTTGCAGAAATAGGATAAAAAATTCCAGAGGAATATGTAAGACTTTGCATGCCATAATTACAACATAAAAGGACACAAAGCATCAGAATATAGAAAAGCAAAAATTTTAGTGAAGAACCTGCTAAATAAAATTGTACTCTAAGCATTGTCAATTCAACAGGAAAATTAGGAACACATAATGATACCTTGACTCAAGAGCAACTGAACACATGTTCAATGAAAGAAGTAAATTTACATCAAAAACTGAAATCAAAAGTTCAGTTAGTTAATAATGAACTTCTAGAAATTAAAGAGAAAGATTTATGCAAACGTCAATTCAATTTCACAACATAATACTTAATGATACATTCCCAACCTAAAAATTCTATTACTATAGTGGTGCAACATGAATGCACTGTTTACTTTAGAAACCAATATGTGTGTTCTAAAGATAAAAAACAAATACAGTTTTACAAGAAACAAAGCAAAGTTGTCCACATGTTGTAAATCAATGGGATATACCTGAAGTTTCAAATGTTGCACAGGGCAACACAAATACCCCAAACAGTAAATTGAAACAATGGCATGAAAGATGCGGTCACTTAAATCTAAGCCACTTAAAAGTAATGCATTCCAAAAAAGATGGCACATGGTCTGAAGATTCCAAAATGTATAAAGTATTTTGGTCCCAAGAATCCATTGTCATATCTTTAGGTGGTGCAAAATATTTTATAATACTCATTGATGATAAACTGCAAAAAATTACTGTATATGCCCTACGTAATAGGTACAAAGCCCTTGATTCATCTAAAAAGTACAAATTTCAGGCTGAAAAACAAATGGGGAAGCAACTAAAAATACTTCACAGTGACAATACAAAAGAATTCAAAACCAAGAATTTAACAGAAAAGGAGGGTGTTAAATGCCAGTTGTCAGTTGAGTATAGTGCAAAAGAGAACAAAGTAGCAAAATGCACCAAACGTACCTTAGTTGAAATGGTCAGAGGTCTGCTTTTGAAATGAAAACCACCCCAAGGATTATGGGCAGAAATGGTATCAACAGTAGCTTACAAGCACAGCCGATGATCTACTGAAAGTAGATCTAAACAGCCAAAGAAATTTGTTCTAAAAGAAAGCCTATGATATCACATTTCACGATCACAGACAGCAAAGTTTTTCCTTTAACCTTCCAGCATGCACGTATGCGCAAAATCTACGACAAATTCAGTTTTTAACGCACATTTTTCGCATATCGAAGCTGAGACGTCTGAAGGTCATTTCTATTCCTCCTTTCTATCCTTCCCCACATCATGGAATGTGCCAATAGGATATCATTTGACTTCATATGAAGTGAAATTCTCAGAAAATATGCATTCTCCATTTGTGACTGTGCAGTGCTGGAAAAAATTCCACAGTAATACCACGGTAGAAGCCAAGAAATGTGTGAAGACTTTGTATCATCCTGATGTGCCTGTTCAGGGTGTGTATGGGAGAGTTGGGGGGAAAAAATAACTTTGAAAAAAATTTAAGGCTCTTGAATTTAATATGGAATGTCGTATCCTCCGATTTATACACATATATCACAATGTGTTTTATACATGCAATAATGTTGTTAACTTCAGTATCGGAATTAATTTTTACTTCTTCACCAATGTAGTCTTCACAGCATTTACATATTTAGGAGAATATCTGTTTGCAATTGCTTTTTCAAGGTATTCCACAAGTTCTCTATTGGGTTAATACCAGGAGATTTAGTTAGCCCCACTATTCTCTCAATATCTTCACATTCAAATAATTTGTGAACAAGGTTTGCTCAATATGGATGAGAATTATCATCCATCATTAAAACATCATATCCATATACAACTGTGAAAAGTTTTTCATATGGGGGCTCTAAGACTTCATTCTGATATTTCTGGCCCATCACAGTTGCACAGTTCAAAATGAGCACAGATGCATGCCCGTGACCATCATCCCCCCACATCATCACCTTCATTATCAAAACAGTCATTTTCGATAATATTCTAAGGAAGATTTCCTGTTCCTGACTTGTAACCTCATCTCCAGACATTAATACATTTACAGTCAGATGTTAAACTAAACCTCAACACATCATTAAACAGAACAGAGGACCACTGGTATTCACTTCAGTTATGACATTCTTTTCATCATTTAAAGCAATCCCTCTTTTGTTGTGAAGATAATGACCCTTAGTTTCCTGGCATAAAGGCTTTTCCTATTAAGTCTTCTGTATATAATTTAGTGATGGCTGAAAGCTCTGAACTTAACTGCCAAGTAGTAGACTTCCTGTTATTATGGGTATTATTGCCAGATATTGATACTGAGAAGCAGTTGATATTCATTTACGACCTTGTCCAGGACCTCTTACAGCAGTTCTAGAGTTATGAAATTGTTTTTTTACTATAAATTGTTCCTTACTGACTTTCTTTCATGAAATACTTACACGTTTCACCATTTTTACGACTAGCTGCTCTACTTCTAAACAGCCAATAATTTGCCACTTCACAGATTCTTCCGAATGACACCTTTTGCACTTTTGGACACCTTTTTTGTACAAACAGTTACATAGAATTTACAAACATTAAACATAAATACTTCACAACTAAACAATGTTGACCACAATAAAAAATGAAATTATCAGAAATGTACAAGATTACTCAGATAATGCATTTAATTTACATTTATTTAATAATTACCAGTTTTTAACCATCAACTGATTCCAAATATTTTATACCAACACATGTATACTGTATAACATGTACACATGTATAACAAAAATACACATGTAATCTGCAAAAATACAATGTATTTAAATAATTTTTTAAAAAATATTAATTTTATGATATACAATTTTTAAGCAAAAGAAAACAAATACTTACCAAAATCTATATGAACTACTTCAGCAGTGTTTGTATCAATTAAAATGTTGTTGACATGTCTGTCACCAAGACCCAATATATAACCAACTGTGAATGAAAAGTTTTAGAAATTGTAGAATTAATTGATGAAGGATGATTATATAAGTGAAAAGAAAAATCATTATTACTTAACTACATTATCAAATTCTCCAAGTACACAAGCTAATGCTTTTAATAATTAACAGATACAATGAAATTAATTTATGAATCCTACATAAAAATAAAGATACATAAATTCTATTTATTTCACAATTCACATAACATAAAATCAAAAAGAAGAAACTATCACTTAGCAAGTCTTGAACAATGACTCCGCCCAGAAAAAATTAGATTTTTGGATTTTCACATCTTTGATCATTTGGAAATTAAAATAACTTGAAATACATGAGCATATATGTCATTAATATCATTACTTTAAAAATATACTTTTTCCGTATAATACTTTCAAATGAAATAGTATGAAAAGGTAAATTAAAAGTTATCTGACAACAAAAGAACATGTGTACAAAATCAATACATATATATTAAATTCTCTCCCACTTTACACACGTATACATGCAGAAAGCGCTGTGAAAAAAAGTTCATTAAATGATCTAAATATCACACTTTGAGATACAATTAAATGTTTCATTTTAATGAAAACATTAATATAATAAAATGATAAATTATCTTAATGTAGTACATTTTAAAAGAGTGAAACTAAATATAAATAAAAGGGTACCCCAAATAACCAGAACTATTTTTAAGCAATTATATAATAACACATACTTTAGTTCCCTATCAGCACTAATGTAGTTTTCCTAATATTTTGCTGACCATTGGAAACAAAGGAAACAGTTCTGCAGCTCTTGGCATATATTACTACTCAAGCAGGCAAAATGTTTTCATGTACCTCATCCACGGCATTAAATTGATCTCTCTCTCTCTCTCTCTTTTTTTTTTTTTTAATCCAGTCATATGCTTCTCAAAAGCTTTCTTTATCAATCAAAATACAAAAAAATAGCATTGATTAAGAAGATTTTGGCGAGTAGTGTAAGTGAGACAAAATCACTGATCTTTCCCCAAAACTGCATATCAGACAGAAATTCTTCAAAAATTTGGTGAATGGTCTTTCACTGATTTTCGATAGTAGCATATCAAACTTTCTCAATGATTTTTCTCAATTTTAGTTGTCAGCAGAAGTCCAAGATTTCATATCAGTTTTAGTTGCCAATGGATGTTCAAGGCATGAATGATGAATAATATGCTGCTAATTTTCAATCTGGAAGCAGGCTCATATATTTGTGATTTACTTAAAGAATTATCTAATACGATTTCCCAAAATATAATAACAGTAAATTCAGGACAAAAAAACTTTAACTCTCTTCCACTTCCTATACATATACATATAACATGCAGAAAATGCTGTGAAAAAAAGTTTATTAATGATCTAAATATCACAATTCAAGGTACAATTAAGTGTTTCATTTTAAAAGTTCATAAATAAATTTAAATAGTACATTTAAAAGAGTGAAACTAAATATAAACCAAAGGGATAAATAAAACAAATATTTTTAAGCATTCAATAAAAAAACAAAAATTTTTCATAAAAAACAATTTGATACTGTTTATTTTTTGTGGTTGCATAAAATACAGTGTCTCGCATTTCTTTCTGGACACTTGCATTTAAATTTATTTGCATAAATCTTGTACTAAATATAGAAATATATATTTAAATTGTTTTTCTAATATATTATTTTCCATCTATTTTAAACTTTGCTTGTTATAATATAAATACCATCAAAATATTCCTTGTAACAATATACTTTTTTCAAAAAGTGTTAAGTAACTCACATAATAATTTGGACACTATAAATGTTTGTTAAAATGTTTCAATAGATAACGTTTTTTGTTATAGTTTTCTTATTTTAAATGAAAATACATGTCAAGAATTATCATCGGCATTTGGAAAGTTTTACTAGTTTAGCAAAAATTATTAACAGTTCTATATCTGAGTTGAACATGATAAGATGCTACAAATTAACGAAGAAGTTAGAAATTTAATAATTCGTTTCTTTTCAAAGATGGTAAAAGTATTCCAACATCCAAAAAAATCCTTGATGCAAAGTATTTAACTATCTTGATGCAATAAAATGATGGAAATTGCATGAAAATGCTGAAAATGCACTAGAGTATGGAATACATTACCAGATAACACTGAGGAATTGCAGATTTATTCTATGAAAAATCAAACAGCACCTAAAAATTGGTACTACAAAACTTTCAGCAGATTTAGAAAAATGGACTGCACTAAAAATTTACACTAAAACTTTTAGAAGAATCATTTAGTGTACATGGATATAATGGGTGATCAACAAGAAGGAAATCCTTCACTGATAAAAAAATAAGTCTTGCATTCACAAAACGTATGATAGGCAAAGTTTAATAATGATGGAACAATGTTATATTAGCAGAAAAGTCAAAATTTAATACATTTGGGTCCCACAGATGAATGAATAGGTTGCAAGATCCAAATTAAGAAATGGTTTTGGAAAACTGATTGCTTAATGTTATGCATAGGGGCAGAGGCATAACGGTTTAGAGATGTTTTGCTGTCTTTCGAATAAGAAATTTAGTATTTATCAAAAATAATATGGATTGGTAAAAATATATAAATATTCCTAATGAAAATCAGAAAGCATCTGCAAGAAAACTTGGAATGTATTAAAAGAGTTTAAATGAAAAGGTACGAAACTACACAATAGATATACTGAAGTCTTATTCACAAATAATCACAAAAGACCTGAGTGCAACTATTCCACTGTTTGTAAGTGTTCCAACACATGTTAATTTGTGCTTTTTCAATAATTCATTGAACAAAGGAATGCTTACATACCAATAGGCTAATAGTTATATTTCTTCCTGTGTTACTTATGGGTGAAATTAGTCTTTGTACAACATCCAATGCAGCATTTGATTGTCTATATGGTCCGACAGGCTACTGACCTGAATAAATTTTCAGGTTGTATGTGTAAAATGTACAAAAATCGTATAAAGCAAAAATTTTTATTCCAAATTTTTTAGCTTCCTTCTTATATATTGTCTCAACTGACACCTTCCTCAAAAGGGCTCTAATTTTTATCTACAGTACAATATTCAGATAAAGAATAAATTTTTGTATGTTTCTGATAAATTTTTCAAAAACATTTCTAATAGGTGCAAGTTTATCCGTCATCTTTTGCTGTGTTCTTGAGTTTATGTTATCAAACCTAACACACCTCAACAGGAAGTGAAATCGGTTGATAGACATTGTTATTCCACTTCCGTCAGTTGATTAACAAATCTTTTGCATAAGAGATGTGCTGCTCTCAACACTCCAGCATAAAATATTAGGTGAGTACAAAAGTTCTACCCATTTTTGGACATGCAAATTTGCAATACAACTGACGTCACACACGACATGGGGGTGGGCTATGTACTGTAACATAAAGGAGTGTGTATCGGCCTTCTGATACGCCTGCATCGCCTTTGAAAGCCGAACTTCATTCAAGAAGGTGTTATTGAGTGTGTGGTGGGATGTGCAGGGAATAATTCACTTGGAGGTCCTGCTACTCACCAAACCATCATTACTGCCTTCTAGTGTCTACAATTAGACTGGCTGCATTCAAATTTGGTAGCAAAGCGGCCAGGTCTCATCAATCATTGCGGTGTTATCCTTCATCATGATAACGCCAGACTACATGCTGCTATCATCACTCCCCAAAAGTTACTCGGCTTCGGTTGGGAGGTTTTACCCCTTCCTCCCAACTTGGTACCAACTTATTTTGTGCACTGAACAATTCCTTCAGTCAGAAAATCTTTGATAACACTGATGCTGTGAAAACTTCCATCGAAGACTTTTTGACTCGAAACCGTCAGAATTTTACCGCCGTGGGATTCATCTTCTACCAGAAAGATGGCAAGAGGTCATAGATAACAATGGGGATTATTCACAACAATAGGTACTGTTCATTTTGTGTTTATTTGCTCTTCTTTCTGGGTACTGGAAACAGATAGAACTTTTGCACTTACCCAATAGTCAGCCAAACAACGCCTTCAATTCAGCTACGTTTGTCTCTTATACATCACGTTCTCTAGAGAATTTGCTTCTTATTGACGAAATGTAAATATTTGTTGATTTCACCAAATCTTCCATTATTTCATCATCAAAAATTTCTAGTAAACACTCAGCTGGATTTTCAAATTTCTAAAGCTTTTCTTGACACTAAGTAAACATGTCACTATATTGTGCAGCCATGTCCGAACGTTTTTTTTTTCAGGGGGGGGGGGGGAATTTTTTACTCCTCTTTGTTCCATCTTTTCCCACATAAAAATCATCTGATGTCAAAGAAGATATGCTCCCTAAATCATGTGAATTGTCAGATTCCTGGTCAGAATCACTTTCATGAGCACTTTCAAAAATGTATCGCACTCAGAACCAGAAACTTGAATTTCACTATCAATTTCAATTGAACGAGAAACCCCTGCAGCCGTTGCTGTTCTTGCTTGTACACACTCATCTCAATGAATGTCTCTCTAGAAGTGAAAGGTTAGCACACATGAAATGGGATTGTAGCAAAGTAGCTACAATCTCATTTCACATTCCTTCCACAAAAACACAAAATCCTAAATACAGGGAAAAATTCCGCTGGACGACCCCCATCCTAACCTTAACCTTGAAAGGTACGAAAAGTACCAGAAAGGTCACGTACGACCTTCTCTTATTTTCTAAGAAGAGACTACACGTAGGGTGGATTTTATCCCAGCGCGTATGCTGATGGGTTAAATGTTCTAAAGAACAACTACATTTGCAATTCTTAATGCATGCAAGTCTTGAAAGTACTAATTTACACATAAATAATACTAATGAAAGAAATGTTTAAATGCTCTGAATTTTTATGAATTTGAATGACAAATATATCTAAGGAAAAATATATCAAAATTAAGTTGCAGAGCAAAATTCACTTAAATGGGTATTTCTTATACTGTTTATTTTAATTGCAGATATAACAGGGGTTCTCAACCAGGGGAATTTCATAGTTTGAAGGAAATGCATTCAGCCTTTTATATCTGTTAAGTGTTTAGTTATGGGGGGGGGAAATATTCAAGTTTTGGTATTTACCAATATTTTCCATACTTTTTGTGGTACTCTTCTGTTATTGGAACTGGGTCCAGAAATGTCTACGTATATGTTCATGTATGCATGTATATATGTACATGTTTGTGTACACACAAATATATACATATACATACATATATACATTTCTGTATCGGGTTCTGAAAACAGAAGAGTACACATTTTGTTGCTTAATTTCTAAAACATGCTAGAAATTAATCTAAATAAATGTATACATGTATTTTTCAAGTTTTGGAAAGGAGGGAGGGGGAATGATCTTCTAGCAGTGGTGAAAGAGGTGTATAGGGCAAAAAAAGCTCAAAGCCAGAGACATAAAATATTCTAATCCTTTCTTAAAAAAAAAAAAAAAAAAAAAAAAAAAAAAAAAAAAAAAAAAAAAAAAAATATATAGAAATGTGGTACACCTCCCAAAATCATCACATTTGTATGTTATCATACGTTTTTTTATAGACACACATACAGTCAAAAGGAGGAGCGATTCCGGATTATCGATTTTTCCGGATTATAGATCATCAGTTTAAATCTGGTAAAATGGCATGCAGAAATTATAAAATTAAAAATATGAAACCGTAATTTACGAAATAAAGAACAATTATGATCTAAAGGGTATCAAAATTTACAAAAAAAAAAAAAAAAAAAAAAAAAAAAAAAAAAGCTTAATATTTATTTGTTTACTTTATTAAACATTTCTTTCAATGTAAGTTGTTTTAAGTTGCTTCGTTTTTTATGTGATAATACATTCTCTTTAATTCTATAAACAGACATAATTTCTTGTTCAGTTACAAAGTTCCGCTGTTCAAGTCCTATAATTGCTGTGTCGAGAATACCGACTAATTTGTCAATCGAAATTTTTTCGTTTTCAATAACCTCTGTCACTTTCTTCGCTATCGGAAGCGAATTATAATGACAGGCATTTGATTTAAACCATATCAAAGACGAGATGAAATACTACATTGAGTAAGCAATTATAAGCCAAATAAAATAAAAACATCTGCCCTTAAGATAAGGATAGTGCTGACAGATCAACTTCCAATTCATTGCACGCGGGTGTTAAAGATAAACAAAGTTTAGATAAAAAAACGTTAAAGTTTAGATAAACAAAGGATATGCCTTTATCCATTTTTTGCAGCAATTCCACTTTTTGTTTAATGGACTCCGAAAGATACTTTCGCTTTGTATATCCTTTACATATTAGTAAATATATATCGGAAATTCTATTTGACATAATCGAAAGTTCAAGCTTACTTTTATAAAATTGCTCTAACAGTCTGCAAAAAATAATAAGCCGGATCCAATTCGAAGATTAAGGAACAACGCAATCTGCAACATTAACTGAAATAGATAATTAGATAATTTTAGCTTAGCTTTTATCCGTCCGTTATACATTAAACGCGCATTCGTAAACATATTTTGCGCACGCGCACACGCAAATTCGCAGCGGTAAAGGTCTTACGCGCATGCATCGAACTGACGCATGCGCAGAAAGTTTGTAGCTTTGAGGTCCGGTTTATGAGTGTCCAAATTAATGACTTTTGACTGTAATTTGCTTATGAAAAATAATGCTTTTTAAACATGTAATATATTTTTCTGTTATAACATAACTTCTGTAAAGCATTTATTATAGATGATGCAACGCAGAAAAATCTAGCATATAACCATATGTTGTGCCCAATTTTTACTGAGGCAAAATTCATATATTTAAGATAACTACTGTTATTAGTGTACCATAATCATCATAATATTAATTTATATATTAAAAAAATGAGTTTAATTTCATACCAATGGAGCTAGCCGCAACACTTTTTGTATATGACTGTTGTCTTTCAAACCAAGAAGAAGGTTCTGGAAAATGTTCTAGGAAAAAATACCTAAATACCGGAGGAAAGTTGGCACATATGGAATCATAGACTTCTCTTTTTTGAGGTAGATGAGAAATACTGGCTATTTCCTAGAAAATTAAAAATGTACTGTAACACAAAAATCTGTTATATAATAAAATATATACTTAAAAAGAGAATAATATATTATACCACCAAAAAGTGTAAAATGAGTTCTATTTTAATGCATTTGTGAAAAATAGATTCAACAAATACACATTTAATTAAAAAATGTAAAGTCATATTTACATGGAAATGGCATTAAATTTTTAATGCTTTTACAATTTTTTAAAAAATGTTATTCTATTTTCCAGTTAAAAGTTATTAGCATTGCTATATAAGAAGCTACATAATATGTATTTTCCAAATAAGAATCTATGGCAAGTTTAGAAGGTTAAAAATTTCTCCTTAAGAGTACCTCAAACCTACCAAGAATCTCAAATGTTTTGGCTTACCTTCAGTAATTGTTCAATATCTATATTATATCAATATCTATTATTATAAAGAGCATACAATTTTGGAATGATTTTTTTTTAGATAAAAATAAACAAATGCATAACACCACAGAAGTTTTTTTTATTAACTCATAATTTCTAGTAACATACTACTAAGATTTAGAAATAAATCATTAGTAAATCAGAACATACTTTTGCATACACATGGTTATTTACTTAAATGATGCACAAGACCATAAATATCTGGTTTGATGCATGTTTTAAAATAAAAATAGCATAAAGATATACAAAATAGTACAACAGAGAATGTAATTGCACATATTCCTTGATTTCACCAAGTATTGGAATTTATAACTATTTTAGCGATTAAAGTATAAAATTATGAACAACAGGATTTATAATAAAATTAAGTTTGATAAATACACATACTTGCCAACCTACGATACTCAAAAATCAGGAGATTTTTCACAATGTTAAAAAGACTTTTCTAAATGATAAAAATATAGTTTTTAATAATGAATTAACTAATTCTAAATAGTTACTAATTCTATGCAAGCAACACAAAAATACCTTACACATAAAAAAAAACATTTTTATTACTTGCATCATTTAAGGGGGGGGGAATTTGTATGGAAACTAAATGTTATGAACAGTGGCAGATTTTGCTTTCGTTAAGAAAAAACTTCATAATTTTGTTCATAGCAATTGCCACGTAGGCCTGCTTTTGCTAATAAAAGTTTTTCTAATGTTTCATCACTAATATTAGATCTAAATTTAGTCCTCATTTTTGCAACAATACTAAAAATCCTCTCACACTCTGCATTACTATGGGGAACTGTCAAGATGGCCAACATAATTATAAACAGTTCACTATATTTTAAAATTCCATCAGCACCTTTCATTTTTCCAATTAAATTCCACTGGGTGTCAATCCTAGCTGATTTTATAACTTCATCCAAGTTTTCTAATTGTAAACTGCAAAATTGCGATTGCAATATTTTATCAGTGGCAACATCAATATCATCATCTTTCATGACTAAATGAAGTAACACAGGAAATCTGTTCAAAAAGTACCTTGTATCAGAAAAAGATGCATTTTCTAGAGCAGAAACATCAGCAACTTTAGCAAGCAAAATCACTTCATCTTTGATTGGAAATTTATGTAGTGTGTAATCGCATACTCGACAGAAGTAACTTCTAACTTGAAGGTAAAACTTATTTTTGTCTTCTGAAAGTTCTTCACTACTTTTGTAGTTGCAGCTCCTATTACCAAATCTTCATCTTTCTTCTGATTTTCTATTTCACCATAAATCACATCATATATAGAATTACAAGACGAAACACAGACTGGTTTTGGTAATGAATTGTAAAAAAAAGCAAAAAGCTTTGTTAAGGTCCGAAGGGAAAAAACATAAATATTCGTTCTTCACAAAGATAAATTTACAGTAATCAGAAAATGTTTCCAGTATTGAGCAATTTTTTTTTTAATCAATAATTTTAAATAATTTTCAAGCAATGTATCAAAACCTTTTATCCTGACAACCATGCAAAGCACTTCATCTGTGCAAACATTAATTTTGCCCACTCTACTTTGCTAACTTCAGTTACATTTTTAAGTTCTTTAAAAATATTCTCACCTGAAGTTATAACTACTTGGTGCAAATGAAGAAGTTCTTTCATGACATCAAAATTACTATTTGTATAACACACAAATATGCTTAACTGCACATTACCTATGATGTCACAACTTTCATCAAACATAATGAAAACTATTTGCAACATTATAGTCCAGAAACAATTTGTGTGCCAACATCCTGGCCAATGTCATCTATACAACACACGATGGGCTATTTTATGAATCACATTTTTGATGTTTATATTACCGACATTTTGAGCAAATATTAAAAGGCCATTTTTCATTATCTCCTCTTAGTTAGAATAAGGTATTTTTTGGGGGGGAGGGGCTAACATCATAAAACGTTCATCACAGGCCTTCACCATAGTTTCTATTTCGTCATTTTTCTTCTGGAACGAGGATTGTTGGCGGAATAAAGAATTTTTGTGTTTTTTAATTGATAAATTCCACTTCGAAGTGTGATCCGATAGGATATTTGTTGCTGAAATCACTATACAGTTGTCTGAAAACTTGGTCGAGGTTAAATTTTTTCCGCATTGCTGCACAGATTTCACAAATTAAACAATCAGGCTTGGATGTATTTTGATGTATAAATAACAGTTGTTCTTCCCAGACAGTTTTAAAATCACAAATTGCAATATCCTCTTCATATCTTCTTTTCAATATCAAAGATTTACTCATGGACATAGTAAAAATAAAATTTTTTTTTTTTAAAAAAAGCTTAACAGCTTGCTCGGCAGTTTAAAATCAACTAAGCCAGATAGGATGATTAGACCACTCACTCTCGCTCGAGAACAGACAACCATAGTAATGAAACTCAAACCATTGGGTTAGTCTCATGAACATGCTGTGTTATTGCATCATTGTGCTGGTGTCAAGCAGTGGCTCTGGCACTGTTGTATTCAGTAGCATATGAACCATAGGTTTTTTATGGATTTTGATAAAGCTTCTGAAGATATAATTAACTTTTTAATGTTTTACACTTTTCAATAAGTCTTTGCATTTTACTGTTAAAACTCCGCCGTTTCGCACTATGGTACATGTGCCAAAGGTTGGCCATCCATGATTTTAAGGTTGTGAATTTTTCCCTAAAATTTGCAGTGAAAACTTAAATCAACTCCAAATCAGATGAAATCCTGTCCTTCTACAGCTCTCAGTTTCAAGAAACATGTTTATATCACTGACATTTTGGGCAAACATTAACATTAAAAGGCTATTTTTTTATTATCGTCTCTCTGTCAGAATAGGTTTTCTTTTCTTGTGGGCTAACAACAGAGAAAGTTCATAAGAAGCCTTCATCATAATTTCCATTTCCTCATTTCCCTTCTGGAACAGAGATTGTTGGCCAGCTAAAGATTTCTTTTTTGTACTCATAAATTCTGCTTGCGATTGTGACCTGACAGTTTTAGTGCACATCATTTATTGCTCAAATCACTATGCAGTTGTTTGAAATGCTGATCCAGGTTAAATTTTTCGGTATTGCTAAACAAATTCCACTCATCAAATAAACAAGCTTGGAAGTATTTCGATGCATAAGCAAAAATTATTCCTTCCAAAATAGTTCTCAATTCATGAACTGCAATATCCTTTTCGTATTTTCTTTTTGATGTCAAAAGTTTACTAATGGAAAATTTGAAAATAATATTTTTAAAACGACTCTTGATGCCAAAATCTAAAAATGGTTTATAAAATGCTTAACCACTAGCTCGGCAGTTTAAAATCATCTGAGCCAGATAGCCAGAGTGTGACACTCCCTTTTGCTCAAGAACAATCATAGCAAGGCACAATGACCCGAAATCAAGGCAACTCAAACCATTGAGGGCTCGTCCCACGACCAGTTCTCTTACCACATCGTTGCACTCGTGTCAAGCAATGCCGTTTTCAACGTCAAGCAATGCTGGCACTGTTATATTTGGTAGCATATGAGTAGAGTTTCTACAGATTTTGATAAAGCTCCGAAAGAGGATATGATTACTTTTTCAAAGAGTCTGTCAACACTCCACCATGACATGGGTTGGCCATCTAGGCCTAAAAAAGTGTTTTGGTGTTTATTCTCCATACACTTTCATAGTATTTTCATCTATATACTGCTTAATGCTTGAATTCAGTTAAAAAAAATCCAGTATAAAGCTACTTATACTGTTTCCAACTGCCATAATGATCTTAATATTATGGATGATATTTCAAACAGAATATATATACATATATATATATTATAGAAAGTATTTATTCCAACTTGTAAGAAAAGGTAAAATGGATGTAGACAAAATAATTGCAAGTTACATGCAATAAATACATACAGAACATAAAATTTTGAACAAGCACTTAATTTCCAAAAGTACTTTCAGATTAACTCAGAGAGTTTCATAACAGTTACTGATCAATGATTAATATTTATTTTATCTAGCTCCAAACAAATACACAGGTCAAGAGATATTTTCAAATTGTGCGAAATTCTAAGCTTGGAACACTTTAAAATTTATATAATATCTGCATATGTTATCTGCATATTTATTACATTACATTATACATATTACATTAGATACATTAAATTAATACATACATCTGTATTACATTTAAAAATACTACCAAAAATCAATTTTAGACAATTTGAAAATGAAACAATATATCAGTTTTTTTTTTTTTTTTTTAAACTTTATTCAAAACATAATAATTAGTCCCTATATACAATTGGCTAGTCACTAAGCTTAAAATTTTATTAAGAAGTAAAATAAAATAGAAAAAACTATTACCGCCATTTTGCTTCGACATTCCCGATGTGTTGCCATATTGGGATAATACCTAGCGTGTGCCCCACCGGATCCTCCAACGAGATACTGAGAAAGTACTTGTGTACCTTCACACCACTGTAAAACCCCACTTCTGCGTGATACAGGTACTACCTGGAAGAAACAACAAATTCAAGATTAAAGGGCACTTTAATGCTATGGTCTGATATGTATAGCAAACATTACTTTTTTTTTTTTTTTTTTTTTTTTTTTAAATTAAGATTGGTCAGCCTCAGACTCAATCATTATTCAGTATTAATGTAAATGAGCTTTGTGTTATTGTTGGTATTGTGACTATCTCATGTATAAGAGAGTAACATCAGATAAAGCCCATGAAATTCATCGAGGCAAGGAGTGCAAGACTGCACTTGTTGTTGGAAACAGCCTCGAGACCCCATACAGGTAACTGTAAGACTTTGCTCAATTCCACGTCCAACTTTGAGGGAGAGTATCCCAGGACGAGTTCGAGTGTCTGCCACCCCACTTAAGGGTAACTTCTCGAGAGGGCTTTCGGCTTGTCGCATACTTAGAGTGCCTCCATGCCTTACATTTAAAAATATCCATGCCTTCTCCAGAATTCAAACCCAAGGCCCTTTGGTAGAGCAGTCAGTGTTGCTAAACACTACCCCAGGTAATGCAGCATAAACGAGCTTTTAAATCTGATAGCCAGTGACTGTTCTTTTACTGATGGTTTGGTGTTATAAATGCAGTGCACTGAAAAACCTTTGTCACAATCTTAATACTTAGGTAAACAATATTTTAAAAACTTTGAATTACTAATCAAATAATATAATTTTAGCTCTAGATAAGACATGTTGCCAGTTTTTTTATCTTAACCCCTTCTTTTTCTCTCCCGTCAAAATGACAGGGTTAGGTTCTGCCCCCTATTTCTCGTGCCCATGATACTTCCGGGCTGGAGAGTTCAAAAGCAACATACTAAAAAGATTGAAATCTATTCATTTCTTTTGCCCATAAAAAATTTTATTTCTCTTTTTATACACCAGATGGCAGTACCAGTATAATTTTTTTATGCAATTAGAGATAATTAGTTTATTTTAAACTAGATGTCATCACTTATCAAACGTATATATATAATATGTATTTTGTAATCTTATCGTTTAGCCCAGTTACTTAATTAGTCTCATTGTAAATGCACGTGGTTTTTGTTCTGTGATAAAATACACTTATTTTTTAATATTCTGTACATTATGGAGTCAGAGTCGGATAGCGAATTAGATTCTGATTTTAGTATAAATGTATCTGAAAGTGATTCTGAAGTATTGGATTTTTATGATAGTGAATCTGAGAGCAGTGATGACGGATCTGTACTGTTGCTTGGACGATCATGGACTAAAATTGTGTCAACTTTAGCAGGTCATGCATCTCCCCCCCTCCCATGTTTTAAATTTTGGGGAACACCAAAAGTAAATATAAATTTTGATCCAACTTCTGGTGTCTTACAATATTTTAAATGTAAGACACCAGAACTTGGATCAAAATTTATATTTACCTTTGGTATTTTATATTTATATTTACCTTTGGAACACCAAAGGTAAATATAGATTTTGATCCAAGTTCTGGTGTCTTACAATAATCTTTGTAAATTACTATTTGGTGGATCTCATCATTTCGGAATATGTATGCCGAACAGTGCCAAAATTCTCCAGGATTATGCCTATCCAAAAATAGAAAACCTCAGATACCTGTCACAAAGGAAGAAATTCTTAAATTTCTCAGTATAGTAATTTTACAAGATATTAAGAAAAACCCAAGTATGAAAATGTATTGGGGCAAAAAACATTCAATTTCAACATCTTTTTTCAGAAGCATAATGCCTTGCAATAGATTTTACGAAATACACAAGTTTCTGCATTTTGTAGATAATGAAACTTTTGATTGTAATACACATCCAAATCCCAAGCTGCATAAAATCTGGCCAGTGTTAGAACACCTGAATGAATTGTTTCATAGAGCTGTAACTCCTGGATGTGATATTGTAGTTGATGAAACCCTCATGATCTTCAAAGGTCGTTTAGGATGGTGACAATATACAGCAAAAAAAAAAGAGATCCCATTTTGGAGTAAAGTCTTATTTGTTATGTGAATCAAGTTCAGGGTATATATGGCCAAAAATTATATATACTGGAAAAGATACTTTTTTTGATGCAAAATATAAAGATCTGTCCCAATCAATTCAAGTTGTGATGTCACTTATCAAGCCTCTGCTAAAACAAGAATATTGTCTAATAACAGACAATTTTTATACCTCACCACAATTGGCAGACATGCTCTTTAAAATTTCAAACAGACACTTAAGGGACTGTAAAATTAAACAGAAAAGAAATGCCTCAAGAATTGGTAAGAAAGAGAATCGTAAAAAGTGAAAATGTTGCTTTTCGTTGAGGTAAAGTTCTTGCCATGAAGTGGAAAGATAAGAAAGATGTTATCATGCTATCTACAGTCCATACAAATGACATGGTAGATGTACAGTGTCATAACAAAGTTATTAGAAAACCTACAATTGTCACAGATTACAATAAAAACACAGGAGCAGTAGATACTAGACCAATATCTTGGAGATTACTCTATTGCTCGAAAAAGAAGAAAGAAGTATTATAAGAGAATATTTTTTCATTTATTAGATCAAACTATTTTGAACTCTTATCTTATTTACAAAAAACAGGGTGGAAAAAAATCCCCTTTGATGTTTCATTTATCTTTAGTAGATGAATTTATTGAAATGTATCAGTCATCAGACACCATTCCAAAAAGAGGCCAGCCAAGCTTGGAGGATAATCCAAACCATTTGATTGAAAGGCATTTTTTTACACAGATACCCACAATTGATAAGAAATGGCAACCAACAAGAGAACTCAAAGTTTGTTGTTTCAGAAGAGGGGAAAAAATAAATAAATAAATAAATAAATAAAAATAATTTCAAGCTAAAAAAATTCCAAAAATTAAAAATGAATGCATATAATGTACATACACTTATTTTTGTAAAATTTTCTTCAATAAAAAATAGGCAATTTTATGGCCGTTTTCTTGAAAATTATCCAATTGCTAAGGAGACAATTAATTCCCTTATTTATTATATCACAATTATTACTCCTCCCCCAGTGAAATTCCACTTATTTGGATTGTACTCTGGAGTCTCACTTGAATGAGCCTGCAAAGTTTGCCAGCAGGAAAATGGAATGAAAATTGTTAATTTCGAAATAGCTGCAAATCAGGGAGAGAGACACACTCTTATCATTAGTCATAAAATGTATAATAAGCTCTTTCCTGAATTGCTGTAATGAATTCTTATCAGGACTTCAGCTGAAACTATATAGTAGCTTGGAAATTGTGCAAAACTAGACTCGTCACCTAATTATAGCAGTTAAGACAACTCTTATTGCAGCCATTCAATTAATTGCATACAAACTTAATCTCAACTGAACACAAATTCATGAAAATGCTATAATTTTGCAAAAAGAAGAGTCTTTGCAGACTTACTCAAAAATGACTACTGTAAAACTGCAATTTCAAGGCTTTCTCATAACACTTACTGAAGAAGATGCTGATTTACTGAAGTTCTAGAAAAAGTTGACTGTATTTGATGTCATAAACAGAGCAGTAAAAGCTTGGTCAAACTAAAACTAACAACACTGGTTCAATAATTTCTAATATAGAAATCAGAGATTTATCTAATATAGCTAATATATTTATACAATAAATGCAGCTGTATTCCAAAAAATAGAAAATACAAAATTCTTTGAAAATGCCAATTAGGAAAACATTGAGGAATAGTTCAATGGAAATTTGACCAAGCCATGCTTTCAATGTTTGAGTGATGTGGATATCATCTCAAATGTGACAAGAACAGAACAGAGAGTGGTACTGAAAACACAACCAAAGAAAATACTGACCATTACATTAGTCCTAAAACAGCAGACTTATGCTGAAATTTTATTGGACTTTCTCAACTGAAGGGGATTCAAGTACAATGATAAAACAGAACTTAAAATATTCAGCAAAATTCGACATATATTTAAACATTTTTACTTCCTTGTACAAAGTACTGTAATGGTGAAAAATTTGGGTATCATACTTCAACAAAAACATCTACTTTGACCGTTTCCTAATGCATCTGAATGATGTTTTTGAGTGACATCTGTATGTACATATAGAATAAAGGTCTCTTTTTCTAAGAAAGAATTAAAAAATAGATTTAAAGCAGATTTAGAGGGAGATTTTTTCCAAGATATCTGCACATATGTACATATCTCACATAACTAAACAGGGTTGCCACTCAAACAGGAGAATGAAATTCCTTGACTTTTCCAGGTGTATTTCAAGAAAGTTCCAGGCTATCTGCATAGTGCATTTTGGTTTTGCTAAGCACAAATTAATTATGGTACCCCTTGAAAACACAAAAATTTGCCAGTTACATATGACTTTAATATAATATATATATTTCCCCAAATAGGAGTAGTTTCCTCCTCTGAGGATTAAGATTAGAATCTGCCCAATCGAGAATTAAAAATGTCTTTACTGCAGACATTTTGCAGCTAAAGGAAAAAAGAAATCCATTATTTATTTATTTTACTGCAAAATGACAAAATAAGGCATTTAAGAAAGAAGAAAAAGGTTTAAAAGATTTTGTTTTATATGAGAATGGGGAGAATTTACTTTTGTTCAACATGCACTGCACGTACGAATCTCTGGATTGAGTTTACTGCAAACCAAAAATGCTGGAAACTTGCTTCGTCTTTCTTCCTAAAAGACAACCTGATTGGCTCTGAGAAAACTGGCTCCACAGCAGCTGTCCGAATGACATTCACGTGATACACGACTCGTCGAGAAAGAGATCGCTTCCGACGTTGGTGCAAAAATCACTTTTTTGGAGACTGCAGTATGAAATTCCCCGACTTTTCCACATTTTGACTAACATATTTAAATTCCATGATTTTCCCCTGACTTTTTTGGCCAATTTTCGAATTCCCTGACTTTTTCCGGTTTTCCAGGTAGTCTGGCAACCCTGTTTAAAAGTTGTTTAAGTTCCACTAAGCCTAATGATGCTACTATTTGTTTACATTTGAAATTTAGTAGAATAGTGAATTACATCAGTTTCTGCACCTTCAGTGTCTTTTTGCCACGTAGGGCCAAAGTAAACTCTCTTTTTTCTGCACTGAAAAATCTGCCTTCTTGCCCACTGGCTGAATTGCTTGTTTTTGCACAGAAACTCTAATTTTAATGGTAATTTTTTAAAAAAACTGTTTTAACTGTATTTGGTGTCTATATTTTTCAATTTTTAATGAAAAAGTTTTGAGTTTTTATGTATCTATAAGTGAAAAAATTAATTGAATGAAAAATATATTTCTAATGAAATGCTAGGAAATAAGTTTAAATGAAATGCAGCAATAAATGTCTATAATTTAATAGGCAATACAAGGAAGTCATGTGCTATCCACATCAGATTTTTTTAAAGAAATAAACACATAAAATATGTATGAAAATTGATAGTTTGGACTATCAGTGTTTAGCAATAATCACTGACTTGTTTCACAGCATTAGGCCTGATAATTGAGAGTACACTGTAATTAAATTTCTAATGAATTATTTATTATTTTCTGATTTATTTAAAAGATAGAAATAATCTATCTTTTAAATAAATCAGAAGATAACGAAATAAAATGATGATTCAAATAACCAATTTCTTTCTCTCTCATACACAGAAAGAGTACTTTTTGTTATGAATACTACCCTATATAATTTCTTAATATAAATGTAATATTTCTGAATTAGAGAAGCTGGCTGAGTAAATTGTTTTAAGCAAGAAAGTTACTTTTGAGAGAAAATAATGAAGTATTTAAATCATAAAAACACTATTCTCTTTAAATATTATTAAAAAACGATTTATAAAAAACCTTGTATGTTCTAATGCGAAGTTTTCTCCTTTTGGTTTCCATTTTTCGTTCTAGCAAGCAATTTACCAAACAAAACACTTGTTGCATAACAGCGTCTTGTCGCAAGTCATCACGACCCTGAAAGAATACACATATAAATAACTGTTTACACAGTTAAAGATCTTAAAATACAAATTCAAGGTAAAATAATATCAAGATTGATGTAAACTAAGAAAATGATTCTGAAAATTAAGAACTGAAGCAGGAGTATGACATTTTGTGATAAAGAGAAACTATGCAATCATTGAGAAATGTAACTCCTCTGGTTTCCTTTTCAGTTACATTTTTCAATTTCTGAAGTTTTACTGTATTTTTTTGCCATAGAATTACAAATATTACATAATTCTGAACTAATTCAACATATATACAAAAGTATTTATCAGTAGAAAATTTCAAAATTATATGAGATTCATAAGAAATAAATACAAATTTGTGATAAAAAAAGATAAATGTACAATAAATTAGAAATTCAATAAAAACCAACAAAGAACAAACAAAGAAACATAACTATTTACATAAAATTAAAAGTGTATCCACCATAAATTTTTTAAAGAACATTCGTAAACATTCTGGTGTCAGCTGTCCAAACAAACTTACATCCAGAAACAAATCAATTTTCAGAAACTACAGACATAAATTTAAATTTCAAGGCTTTTTTAATTGTTGATTTAATGTCTTACCTTGCAAATTATGACCAAAATGATTGATTGAAATTTTAGTATTTGTAATATAAATAACTAACCTTAACTAGCTGCTCTCTTGTTCGACCATCCATACCTATGCATTTAATGACTTTGGGAAGAGTCAATCCTCCACACATTCTGAACTCATTATGGAAGGAATATATTCCAACTATATTTTTGTATTCACAACTATGATCAACCTAAAAGATTTAAATTATCAATATTCATATCATATCGATATTTAAAAAGAAGAAGATAGGATTAATAACAATCTAATTCCACTTTAATGCTATCAAAATTAGAATTTGAAATCACTTATACAAAAACCATCTTTCATTAATTACAAAAATTCTGTAAACAAACACTGCAATATCTCACGAGTTAAATGTATTTTAAATGATATCAATTAAATATATTATTAAAAATAAAATAAAGGTTTAAATTATTATGAAATGCATTTATCATTTTTTCATCATTCAGATGGTTAAGCAATTTAAATGGAAAGGATGGTTTTTAACTTCCAGACTATCAAGCAAGCCAAAAATGCTACAAAAGAAAAAAACTGACTGGTTAAATTTGAAAGATAAATGAAAGCTTTTAGCTTTTTTAAATGATAGTATTTAAAGAACAGGTAGGAACATTTTTATGCTTTGCTTATTTTATGCTTTTATACTTGCATCACTTTGAGAATTAGCTAGATAGCTTGCGAACTTAAGATATTTAATTTATCTTCCTAATGGCTTCATACACCATATGGAAGATAAATTAAATGTCCTGTGTTTTATATAATCGTAATACTCACAAAGTCATATGAATAATAAATATTTTAACAGTGGTGTAATGTAACATAAAATTATAGCCCATAAATTTTGAAAAATGCTAAAGGCCTTTCTAATTTCAACAATTAACTTTTATGCTAACTGCAAAAATAAATTCAACTATTTTTAACTGTCTTAAGGATATGGAATGAAAAATGATACATATTTTGAAGATGACAGTACTTCAGCTTTTTTATTGTTGTGAAACCTTTGAAAAATGTACATGCTTCAAGAAACTTCTACATAAACATTAGATATTAATAGCTATACATATCACTATTCCTTGCAGAAGCTTGAATGATTTTGTATGAAACACTAGTATTCTGAAAAATGCTATCTATTCTTTTTATATAGCAGCAGAAACAATTTTATCTATAACAATAACAAAGAGATCAAATACTTGACAATACAAAGTATGACCTCCCAAAAAATTATGTATAACTTGGTCAAGTGAATATAGGAGGGGAGAAACTAAGTTTAATTATATCACACTGCTTATCATGAGTATATGTATATGTGTGTGTGTACACTTTGGGATGGAATATGTTAGATTGAAAGAATGCTGAGTACATTAACACTTAGTTTCTTGTGACTGTAAAAATCCAACAACTTTTAAATTGTTAATTGAGTTTTGAATCATAATCTTGATGAAGATGAAAATGACCAGAATTTTGCAGAAACAGATTCAGTCAGTAGGCCAACTTACAAGGCTTGATCAACAAAGCAGTTTTCAGCTAATCACATTATTACTGCACTTGATCACCTATTCCTATCACTAGACTTGGCTTTCTAAAATTTTTAATTCCCAAAGATTAAGCTGCTGTTCAAAGGAACTCATGTTTTGATAGTAGAGAACAAAAAGCAAAGATGACAAAGATTCTCAAAAGCCTTCCAAAATATGATGCACAGGCATGTTTTAAACAGTAGCAGCAGTGTATGCACAGCAGACTTAGAATATAGCTATTTCGAAGATCAGAGATTATTTCCTTTTCATCTCTGATTTTTTTGACTCTATCATCTCTATCTGATCTGTGAATTTGTTAAAAAACATACATAGGACAGCACAATCTCATTTTTTTTTTTTTTTTTTTTTTAACCAAACAAATAACAGTTCAAGTCAGTTATAGTGAGTAGTGATACAACGACAGGCACAGATTCAATAAGACTTTTGGTACAATAAGTGAAAACACATAATGATTTTAATTTATTTGTATTCCCACAAGGGTTTTAATCTATCATAAATATATTGAGTAAAAAGTAGGTACAGAAAATTATGTCCATATTCCAATTATCAACATACTGTGCATGGCTGCATTAAAGTTTCATATTTTATAACATTGTAGAGACATTAGGTATTTATTTGGAAGCAGGAAAGATGAAAAATTAACAAAGCTTTCGCCGGGAATCGAACTGTGGACCTCTGGAATACCGCCCCAGTGTGCAGATCACCACACCATGAAGGCGGGAGAAATACCTTATATACTCTTCCTTTTAAAGGGTGACTGGGGTTTTTAGGGGACGCAATCAGCAAATCCCAGGTGAGGAGAATCATCATCCAACACCCCTTTAGTTTGGGTGCCACTGTAGAGACATTTGGAAGCAGGAAAGATGAAAAATTAACAAAGCCTTAACCAGGAATTGAACCGTGAAACTGTGGAATACCAAATGTGCAGACCACCACGCCAAGAAGGCGGAAGAAATACCTTATAACATACAGATATACAGGAGAAATAAGCAAATTTTATAGAAAGAGTATATATATTTTTGAATGATGTTGATGAAATGATGAACTTTGAATGATTTTGATGAAAGTAATTAATTATAATATATGTATAGTTGAACTTTGATTGTCCAAGAAAACAGGATTGCAATAAATGTATACCTTAGATAATTAAAAAGTCTTAATAGATACTACATTTCAAACCATGGCAATTTATTTTCTGAGACTGTTTGCTTGAAATTCTAAAATTTAGTGCACAAAAACTACAACTGACATTTTATCACACATTTTTATTACTAAAATTTGTTTTCCTTCTGTTAACAACACTCCAAGACTTTATTTCATGGCAGAATTCCTGAAAAAAAAACTTTAAAAAATTTCAACAAAATTTATACAAATTGGGTAATTTTATCAGATTTTGGACATGCAATTTTTACGAAGAAATTTTTTTTTTTGAAAAAGTTCATTACACTTTTCTGTGAATAATCCTCTATCAACCACCACATGATCATGTCAGTTTTTGATTAACATAAGATTCATAGAAGCATCAGCACACTGCTTTAAATATTAAAAAGATATGCTCAAGGTTTTAGCATCAACTTAATAATGGCCAAGCCGTAAAATCGCTGAAATTTAATAGTTTGACCTAGGCTCAAATCCTGACAAATGGACTAGCTGTAAAGCAGCTGGATGCATCCTTCTCTTTAAGAAGAGAGACCTTGTATGCTTTACCATAACCAAGACTTCAGCATAGCTAATTTTCATACTTTTATTTCATTGTCCTCATCAGCATCAGAGAAATTTTTATTGTTCTTCAGATCTATACCACTAATGATTTCTTTCGTGTTCAAAGCTTATTCATCCTTTGAAACACATCTATGAATTAACTGTCAGCTAGCAATGCTTTTATTTCTAGCACCACATTTTTTATCATAATGTGCAACTGAGAGGCTGTTAAATCACCATTACTGATAAGACAGGCCAACAAAATTATGAGTTATAACAGAATTCACAAATGTTACGGATTTTCATGGCACTCTTCCCAATGTTACAATATTTGCCCAATGATTTCCTTAAACTGATTGCTGAAAGAGACTCAGTTGATACAGACCTGGTTAATAGAAATTCTACTGCATTATTTTTTGAAATACTGAGTCTGATAGTCCTCTTTCTTAAGCAGGTGAGCACATCTTAAACTTTTACCATACAGAGGGCAATTTTTTGCAATTAGTGCACAAAATTACTTCTGCATCATTGTCCAATAAAGGGTTAAAAAAATAAAAACACTTTCTCAAACATAAAAAAATTAATAATGTTTTATAGTGCGATATCTTTCAAAGCACTTTGTGTAAGGGTATATTGCAAAATTTATACATATAACATGTTATACGGCATGTTTTCTTGACAGGGCAATGCAATACTGTCGTAAAATGCTTTCTTTTTTCCTCACACAACTATGACTTAAAAAAAAAAATTAAAAACTTATAAGTAACGAATGAGTTGAATGATATCAACACTTTTTATCCATTTAGTTGTTTGTCCATTGTTATTTAATTGTTTAATATAACAGATACCGGTCAGACTGTCAACTCTTTTCATGTACTGATTATAGTCAATCAGGAATTTAGGTTTTTATTTTTTTCTCTGATGTTTCTATGATTGTGGTTCTCTTTCATTTTAAATGAATGTCTTGTAGATGCGAGAGAGCCTGTTTTTATTGATTGCCATACTCATACTAAAATAACTCCTTTTTCTCCTGAAGCACAATTCTCCCCTTTTCGATGAAATGGTTTTCACACAATCCGAATATCTGCCACTTAAAAAATAAATAAATAAATAAATAAATAAAAATAAAAATAAAATAAATAAATAAATAAAAATTGTGCGTCAAATTCTAATTTTAATTTGTAATAATTTTTTATTACATTTCACGCTATCATAATAAAGTCAAAAATCTGGACTACGCGGGACTTTGGTGATCCCGGATTATAGATCATTAATTTAAATCTGGTAAGATGGCATGTAGAAATTATACAATTAAAAATATGAAACAATAATATATGAAATAAAGAGCAATTATGATCAAAAGGGTATCAAATTTTACAAAAAAAGTCTACTTTATTATAAATTTCTTTTAATATAAGTTGTTTAAGTTGCTTCATTTTTTGTGCTAATACTTTCACTTTAATTCTATAAACAGACATAATTTCTTGTTCAGTTACAAAGTTCCACTGTTCAAGTCCTGTAATTGTTGTGTCGAGAATACCTACTAACTTGTCAATGGAAATTTTTTCATTTTCAAAAACTTCTCTGTCACTTTCTTCACTATCGGCAGCGGTATTTTCTTGATCTAGAACCATACTACAGATTTTGCTGTCCATTAATTGATTGATGATTGGGGCATTGTCATCGCAATGTAAAACTTCTGTTATATTATTTTCATCTGTTACCACTTTTCCACATTTCTTTACAAAATCCAATAACTGGAAAATTTCACCTTTAGAGTTTGCGATGTCTGAAAACCTTCAAATTCGTGGTTATCATCTTCATCGTCCTCACCATGAAATATGGTAGCTGGCCATAAATTATGCTAAGCATATTTTAACGTATCTGGAGACACATCCTCCCACGACATTGCGATGCTCCACACAGCAGATTTATG